AAGGACCCCTATGATTCCAAGGGTTACACACACACACTCATGGATATGCATACTGACTTGATAGCGGTGCCACACGCCGGCCTAGGGTTCCATTTCCTAAGAGTACAGGTAGGGAAACCTAAAGAAGAAGAGGAGGTCCATCCAGCGGAGGTCCCAAAGGTAATCCACGAACGAGCGGACGACAGGGTGACGACGGTTCGAGGAGGTCAGTGAAGCTCTCAAGGTCCAAGTACTCGAGGAAAATCAACGCTGCAGTAGCCCTTTACTGAAGAAAACACCGAAGTAGACAGCTTGTCCATTACGTAGGTTCATTTCAAAGCAGGTACGTAGCTCCAGCGTCCCGGAGCTATATCACAGATGCAGCACTGGCGTCTTCGTTGGTGCCAGTCCAGTGTGCATCCCTGGCACCCCCTGCTAAAAGTTCAAAACAATCCGAAGGATCCCTATGATTCCAAGGGTTACACACACACACACCCGCGCGGGCGCGCGCGCACTGCTGTCTCAGGAGATTCCTGCAAATGTCCAAACATTGAGGTCTTGCACTGCTTGCACGTCCAAATTGGCTTGATGGAATCCTTGGTAGATCGTTGCTTCGTCACTTTTCTGACGACGCACTTAAAGAGCACACTGACTCACACACAGCTTGATGTGCGCGGCTTCGTTGGCAAACCTTGTAACCTTGCTCAAATGGCAAAGCATCCCCACAATTAGAAATTAACCCCCTCCCCTGTCAAGCAACTCCCCTTTGTTTCTGGGGTAAAGTGTGTTTAACGAGGACTGCATTACGTACATATAGATATGCATATTATGGTGATAGGCCAGCGTTGCTTTTTGTGAAACTCAGCGTCCCCGTAACCGTAGTGTGCCGATTCCAAATTTGGGATATGTGTTGCGGCAGGTTTTGATCTTCGTAGACGGCCAAATCAACATGCATATTACCACAGCATGGCAGAAACGTTTATGCTGCGAAGTTTCTGATACCTCTTTCTGGCTGCTCTTTCCATCCGCGGCCTTGCGAGCAGGAGATTTGGCGTCTCTTGCTCCGCCTCCTCCATGCACTCAAACAACCCATGAGATTCCTAAACATTCTAAAGTACTGTAAATCATCTGAAATCAAAAGCAAAGCACATAGCCAGTCCTTGGCTTCTCTTCAACTCTCGGCTGTCTCGTCGGCCAAACGCGCTGTCTGTCTGTCGAGTGCCATTCTCTCTTGGTTTTTCCCGAATGTCACGCCGTGAAGCTATGGTCTCCCGAGCTTCCCGTTCCTGAATCGGGCTGTAGGAGTGTCGCTCGTGGCGGTTCTGATCCGGGATTCTCCTCTCCCGCTCGTCTGCCCTCCGATCCCTGACTCTATCTCCGGATCGCTTCCTAGAATCTGAAAGCCTTCGTGGCTCTCTTCTTTGCGACACATAGTCCTTGGATGTTTGGATGCGAATGGTTTGCCAAAGGCAGTGCCACATGGATCTTTAAGCATCACTCGTCACATTTTTGGGGGGTGGAGCTTGGGCTAAGGAGCGCTTCTTGATCGACGACTTCGGCTGTGTCTGAGTTCCTGCCCAAAGGATTGCAAAATAAATATGGCTGGGTCTTTGCACATCCTGCGGTGTTTTTGTCCGATGTGCGGTCCTGCGATGATCGTCTTGGGCGCAAAATCAAGTGACGCCCTTGACCACGGTCCTCATGGTCCTCGGAGATTGCTTCGTCGTGTAGGCGTCTTCTAGCGGCGATAAGAAGGTACAAATTCTTGCCTTGACCGACCTTGTCGGAGCTGCAGCCAAGCAACCCTGCTGTCGCGGCTGTCCACACTTCGGCCCATAGGACGCCTGGAACACAGCAGCGCCGGGTTCCGGTATCACTTCTCAGCATTCAGTGTCCCTTCTCAGGGTCCTGGCTGGCTTTTCACAGGCCCATCTTCCAAGCGCAACCGGAAATTGCAATCTATGTTGCAAATTGACAGGATACTGGATACTTGGGATTCTTAAGGAGTGTTCGGTATCATAATATTCATTTCTTGAGGGTGTCTTTGTTGGTGTCCTGCACCTCAGTTTTGAGAGTCACAAGTGTGGCTGTCATTGCATCAAGCTCCTGCTCAAAAGTTGTGTCGATATATGATATAGACACATGTATATATATATACACCTTGCAAAGTACAGTATATTATCTGTGTACATGCCACCCACTGCTTGATCCAAGGACATGCAGCTTCTACATGGGTCTTTGCTCTAATCTCCAAGTCTATCCTGTGGGCTGAACAAGGAGTTTTGGACTGTTTGTCATGGCTTGGACTCAGGCAGGTGAACTTGGATCGATTGATCCAGCGTCTGGGCAACCATGGGCACCTCGGATGTCAGGTTCAGTTCTGCTCACTTGGGACGGGGTGATGACCTGGACATGACTCATGTGAGACACCATCTCTTCCCTTTTCCGTCCAGCACTTCATTGTGACACTATGTGAAACACCGCATTCATGGCAGCTGCCCTAGTTTGGTCGTCGCTGCTGCTCTTCGATCTGGTCGAGTTCCTCTTTGAACCTTGGCGTGCCATGCTGGGCGACTCATGTTTTGATAATGACTGCCTGCAAAAAACTACACTTCTAGGCTCGCTTAAAGAATGGATTAATGATTACATAAATCATACTCCGCATGCGCTGCCTATGGTTCGACACATGACACTCCGCAAACTTTTTTAGCACTCGAACACCGACTGGGCCGCATTGGCTGGTTGATATGCTTCTGCAAGGTCAGGAACCTTGACATCAACGTGAAAATCCAAGTGGTTCACATGAAAGAGTGTGCCATCATTCTTCGGCCACTTCTGCATGCCCAGCTCAAGCCATTGACGAGCCAAAGCCGCTTCAGCAGGCAGTGGAGAAGCTTTCTTGCCTTCTGCAAGGGTTAAATACCAACGTTGCAGCTCATGACCGTTTGATGCCAAGTGCTCAGCCATATCCAGGCTTCCCCAAAATCCTTCTAGTCCACACAGCTTGCAGGTAAGCTCGCAATAGTTTGCAAGCTGGAAATGTTCCAGCGCCTTGTGGCAAGCAATAACTCTTGGATTTCTAATCCAATCCTTGCCAGCGACACGGCGCTGAACAGCACTGGCAGCCAAAGAGCGAAACTTGCACGCAATTGCATTGTCCAATAGCCATAAACAGGAGACCGGTCGGTCGATGAAAAGGTTGTATGTGTGAGCCAGCTCAGCCAATGCTCGCATCCCTTCAGCCTGCTTCGGCGCCATTTTCTCTTGGCCTCTAAGGTACGTTACATGCAAGCGCACAAGTCCAGCCCCTTCGGGTGCAAGCAAGAACAAACCAAATAAACTGTGGGGCCCTTCTCGAGAAAAACGCCATAAAAGGCCATCTTCCCAGCTCTCTAGCGAGCTTCCATGAATTGCCTCTCGAAGTTGGATCAGCTTTTGAACGCTGACACTCGCCTTCAAATCAAATTGCCAACCAGGTGGTTCCATGACCCAATCGCGCCATGGCCCAGACATGGAGATACCACCATCAGCAGCCGCTCCAGTTGCTTGAATGTACGCCTCTTCTCGTGTGTGAGTGTGTGTTGGTGGGCCTGCGTTCATGCGACATGTGTTCATGCACAAAGGGCAACATGTGTTTGTGTGTGTGCATTCCAGGAACTGATATCTCTATGTGTCCAGCTATTGGTCCTAATATGGTGGAGGTGAGTCGATGGGTGTCCGTGCATGAGGAAGCGATTGCAAAGCTGGCACAAAGTCTGCTGATCAAGTTTGTTGTTTGCAACCCTTGCTTGTGTCGTGTGGCTAGTAAGCTCCGTTCTTTCTGAGCCAGTAAAGTGTCCAGCGGGATAAAAAGGATCTCTCGGCCGCAGTCTATGCCTTTCACATCGCTGTTTCTGTTCACCCGAATGTGTTCTGGTGAACTGTGTGAATCGCAAATGTCAACTGTAATGCTGTTGCTGGAAACAAATGCCAGCTTCCACACAGCATGCTACCAGCCAAGCAAGCTCAGGGTCAAGCTCAGTAAGGTCTTTGTCATGCTGATCTTCGTTTGCCTCGAACGTGCGCTGCCTGGCCATCTCCTGCGTGAGAGTAAGTGAGCTGTAAGTAGTGAGCTTAGATCATAGTCTGTTCATGTTCTGCAGGCTCAGAATTTGCATTGATAATCAGTGTTCTGGCTGGACGGAACTTTTCTCCTCCAATTGTTGTAGCTGCTGCCCAAACCTCAGTGAATTACTGCTGGAAAGCTTTGAGTCCACCATTGAGTGCAGTGCAGCAAAGGCACTCTCTCATCTCCGCATCACGCTCCTCTTCCTTTTTCTCCTCATTGATGGCATCACAATGGAACAAACATGTGTCTACAGCAAATGATGTTGCTGTTGACAGGTGGTGTCGATGTCCTGCTCCTGCTGCCTAGCTAGATTTACAAGCTTGGTGAGCGATTGGACCTTGGCACAACGAGGGCGAGCTCATGACTCAAACACGTAGCCTCTCTTAGGCACGGACTGATTCGTCACGCCTCTTGAGTTCTAGGATGGCTTCCTTACACCTTTCTTCTGCGTCTTCCTCAGTGGGCCCAAAGTCCACCAAGGCCAAGTCAATTCCTCTCAAAGGAAGGCTCGCAAAGGGTCCACTTGATCTACTGGCTGCATCTGCAAGGTGCAAAGCTGCTGCCCTCTAAATCGAGCAAAGAATCAGCCCTCTTCTGTTCGGTTTTCAGCCGGGCCAAGACCTGTTGGAGCAACATCATGTGCACGCGCAACTTGATGCTTTTGTGCCATCTAGCCTCCTCAAGGACAGCTTGTGGACTGCAGCACTGCACAGCTTGGTCACAACCTCGGGTCACCGTGGGTCGATGCTACGTCCCAAATCCTGCGCTTCGGCTCTTCAGGCCGCAAAATCCAAGACTCCAACATATAACACCATCAGAAATAGCAAGGGGATGCACCTCGCAGGTCATGGCAAGAACAAGAATTTAAGCAATTTGAATGACTGACATTGAATCACAACTCGAGGTTGTCCAAGTCGAATTGTCTTCAAGTGGCTGCAGTTCTTCGGGTCTCACCAACCAACAGTTCTGCCTTAGCCACTTGTCACAACTCACGATTTGTCTGAAGCAGCAGCCATGTGACCACCGTTTGGACAGAATGTTTCACCAAAAAGCCCAGGCACACTGGCTGCATAAACACTGAAATGGCCACGCCGTAGAACACTTTTGCCATTAATGAGATGCTCCTTAGAGTCACCAAATCAGTTGAAGTGGACCAATGCCAAGCCATTATGACCCCTCATAGCAGTGCAAATGGCAACGAACTATGGCAGGCTTCTGCCAACGCAATGAGAAGCTGTGTCGCCTCAATCGTGTGTCATCAAGAAAACGCTCTGCACACTGCACAATAATTTTTACCTGGTAGTTGGCACAGCTGCATGCAATGTATGGAAAGTCCCCCGCTGTTCGGCGATCACCGCCACGCATAGATGGATGCACCAGGAACTCCACCACGACACTACCAGGAGTTATGTCCACGATCTCGGCAACTCTTGAGGCTCCGTCGTCTCTTTCAGCCACATCTTCTTGAGGCTCCAGCAGTAATGACCCCCGACGGCACTTCTAACGCCTCGCACGACATCTCACCGTGTTCAAGTGAAAGCAACCGATGATGCTACAGCTGAGGCCCTTAATTCCTTGGCACTTCCGGACCTGGGCCACGCATTTGGCAAAAAGATGCCGAAATCTGGCAATGTCCTTGGAGATGGCGACCTCAGGAAACGAGCTCAGAAGGATCCCATTCACTCACACTAGACTCTGCTAAACTGCCTTGAACGTATTCTACACCTATGCTGCGGGAAGGCTGCAAAATCAGCCCCATGTATTATCATCCAACCTGGACCGTCTGGACACTGCACCAGGCTCGTCGGCTCATCCTACATTGAATTGCGCACCACTGCCTCTAGCAGGTTCCACTGCAGCTTTTGCCGCTTCCTTCTCCTCAATTTCCTTTTTTCGAATAAGAGACTTCTCCTCAAGCATCTGGAAAGGAAATCAAAAGGAATCAAAAGGACATCAAAAAAAACCCAAAGGAAAATAAAAGGAACTCAACAAGATTCAAAAGGAAATCAAAAGGAAATCATCATTTTGGCAGCCTTCACTCTTGACTTCAAACCACCAGTCCTTGAGTATCTCAACGGCCTTTTCACGGTCCTCATCCTGCACTGCTACACACGCTTCAATTCTGTGTGAGCACCCTTGCTCCCTGAAGGAAACAGTCATGTATAAATTTTCCTGCATGCCATCAATATGGTCAAGCATTATTGATCAAAAGGTTAATCAGCACAACCGTTCCCTCACTTCGTGCAAACGTCTGCGAAACTGTTGGGCTGTCTATTCCAACAAATCTTGCTCTGTCGACTGTCTTGCCTCATCGTCACTCTGCATTCCTCCCAGTAGTGCCTCAGTCCAGCCGCACAAAGCACGGATGGGATACTGAAATACGTTTGCTATGCCATCTGCTTGGGAGCCAAGTCAAAACAAAGGCAATTGAGTCGAGGCACCATGTGAGTCAGTTCGGCTTCTGTCAAACCCCGATTTAGCTGCCGCACTGTGCCAGTCGCTGGTCTCGAGTCCTTCGTTTCCTTGGATGCCAAAACACGGCACAACAACAAATACTATATATCTAATGCCAAAAACCACCGTCGGAATCTTTCACTCTTCAATGTCCGATTCTTCAATATGGGCTGAGAAACAACAGCAGCTTGATCCCAGTCTGGAGCGGGAGGAGCTACACAGTTTGGAGGCGGATCCTGACCAATGGGCAGCTCGTCATACAGGAGCCTCAATGCACAAAACATTGACTGAATCAGCATCCTTAGTGGCAAATGTAGATTGCTGGTTATCTTTGCTCGCCTGAAAGTTGAACAAATTTCATCCACCTCGTCTTGGCCAAAGATGCGCTCTTCTTTGAAGGTGGCCTCAAAAGAGTGTGTTGCACTATTGCGCTGAGCCATTCAGCGGTCAATCATCAACCTCTATCTGCGGTCCATGCAGCCTCCGAACCAAGGCGATTGACTGCATCACGGTATAGCGGCAGCACATCTGACAGTTCTTCCTGCATCGCCTTCAGTTTGGGTACACAGGTCTGCTTCTTGCTTCGTGAACCCTGAACTGTAATTCATCTTGGTCGAAGCTATTAAGACATCTTAAAACCAACACTGACTGAAGGTGAGAGAGAGAGAGAGAGACAAAGGAGACAAAGTGGGGGGGTTGAGCACAAACGTTGTGTTGAAAGAAGCACCAAGTCACGGCTGCAATGTCCTTTGCACGGACCGGTGCACCAGTGCATCGCCCAAGGACTTGAAGTGCCAGCGTGGCCTCAGAGAAGCGGCAATATGACAAAGTTCTCTTGAGATGCAAGCGGCAATATGAGTGCTCTTGCTGCTTGCCTGCGTCTTTCGTGTCAAGTGCCCAAGGAAATCACCCGACTGCACAAAAGTAGTCCATTGTCCAGGAGCTTGCACCAACATGTACGTGGTCGTAATACCCACTCTACTCTGCTCACACTAACATCACACTAACATCTTACCATGTTGAAATATGTCGTCAGTCCAGTGCAGATTACAGTCTGATGATGTCTGATGATGTTTGATGCAAATCTTGTATCAGCTATGCTATTGTCAATCAATACAGCTAGAGTAGATTCTAAAGGTTCTTGGACTTGGGCCCTCTTGTCTACCAACTCTAAGGCTACAATTGTATGTCTGCTATACATACTTCACATGTTGCTTCGGCTCATTGTTTGCGGCCCAGCCACAAAGTTGGCGACTTCAGCAGCCGTGCAGGTGCCACTGTGCGAGTTGTCGAATAGGGTCATGAAGAGCTGCGCGGGGACAATGTCAATCAATTTCACTGCCACCATTACACGCATGAGACTAAGAAATGCCACAGGCGGCGGAACCGATGAGCGGGTATGGGTATGGACAAACAAAAGGATGCTACTTGCAATTCAATCACTTCTGCATACCTCCGCTAGATAAGTGCAGTTTAGGAACACCACATTTCTCTGACAGCTTCGACGAGCTAAATAGGCCTGAGCTTCCAAAACTGTGCCATCAAAACCTTCTCTAGAATCTGTCAGTCATTCTGTGGAAAATGCAGCGAATTGGTGCCGCTGAAGTGCAAACCATCACCAGGAGCTCTCGGCTATCGATCAATGCCTCAGCTAGTTGGCAGTTGAAACCTTCAGGAAGAGTCAAAACCTAAAAAATACATGCAATTGATTTGACCAAGGAACGTTCTGCTGACTGAAGGCATCAAATATAAAGAGCAGATTGAATTCAGGGAGGAAAAGAATCCTCGGGCATGACTAGTTTCCGTTTCTGTGGTAGTTCTTCCACAGAAAGCAAAATCAGCATAAACCGCAAATTGCCTTCCAAGAGTCTCTTGCAACTCTTCGTAGCTGATCCAACCACAGTTTTCCACGTCTATATTCCTGTACCGCCTCCAAACAAATGATGATTTCACGAGGGCCAGCACCATAATAGACACGCGAAGCAAACCATGAATTGATCCCTTTTGAATACAGTTATATACATTTGTTGGGATTGCGTCCGCTATTTAAGGGAGGAACTGTTAAAAGAATAGGCCGGCTCATCGAGACAAAGGGCTAATCAAGCATTACAGTATAACTGGCCTGTAGACTGCCCAGACATCACCTTAGCGACTTAGTGCAAACAGGACTGAACAACAATGGGTCCAAAACATGAAAAGGGTAGCCGATCAACGTATCTACTACAACAAATTGGCGAGGATGATTTCCCCTGGGCCCCACCCAAGCGGGAAAAGAAGCTGTATAACATATATATATATACAGTATACGAAAAAGTGACAAAGTTTTAGCTTCCGTTTGCACGACATGTGGCCGTTGTAAAACGCTCCGAAGAACCGTCGCAGAGTTGGTCCAATGTCACGCTGCGCCCAGGCGCTGCCTTGAAGGCACATCCACACGGCAGTTCACCAAACAAATCCCAATTCGGGAAATGACAGTTGCTCAAAGGGAATCACGTTTTCAGTTTGCTTTTGAACTTTTCATCCAGCCTGGTGCGACACTCGGAACCGCTGATTGGATTGAGCGGACCTCAGGGTTCAAAAAGCTTGATGTTCGGATCGGCCACGCCAGACAGAATCGGGTGCAACCCCCGAAAGTACAAAGGCCATGGCAAAGCCAGCACCCATTGTAGTTTTGGCCTCCATTCGATGGCGGCGGCGGCCAACTTTTGCGGACAGTGGGGAACAAATTTGAACAACTTGGAAGTGCAGTGGAATAATGCTGTTCATTGCTTTTCAGCTGCTGTCGGCTGTTTTTGCCTTTTTCGAGCTGTTGGAAAATGGTAGCAATCTTCCTGCCTGCAGTTGGCTTCAAATCATGACTAGGACGCAGCGAGTGAAACACAAGGCGGAGGAATCCTACAGGAAATGCCTACAGAATTTGCAGTGAACACAAAAGTGTATATGCATATGTGAACACACATGTAGCATGCAGCATGAATAGTAGCTTAGTTATAGTGTATGTAATTATACAACTGATATGTATGTGAGGGTCTGGTGCATATTGAACTTCAACATCCTCAGCTTTAGTCCATTCAGTTGGGAGACGTTAGCTTCTGTCACTCAGTCTGGTAGTTTGGTCATGGGCGTTATCGTAACCTCTGAGCCAATTGTCCGCTGAACCTTGCACCGCACTCCCTCCACGTCTTGAGCCAAACAGCAATCATCGTTGCAATGGCAAGCAGTGGATGATTTGTGCCCGATCACTTGACAAGAAACCCATGCCAAAAAGCGTGTGGGGTTGAAGCCTCTGGCTTGGGCCAGCACCAAGCCAAAACGTGCAATTCACCGCCGGGGGCACAATTCCAACTACAACAGTACAAAAGATGGGCTGAAGATGGCTGAAGAATGCATTCAAGACCTGAAGCCTCGGCCTGCTTATATTTGAGAATATGTTTGCTGGGCCAGGGCCTCAGTGCGGTTCCAGGGAACTATATAATTGTTCTGCTATTCTGGCTATCTGATTATCTGGGAGTGAAGTGTGGCCGTGAGCGCTTGCTGCAGCTTGCTCGAGCCTAATGGCACCGTGAGCGGCTAATGTGTCATCAAGGTTGCCAATGGTCACGGCCGACCAAAAGTCTAGAAGTTCTCTCAAAAATCCTGGACGCAGACGCATACTAGCTCGCACCTGAGATGCTAGCTGCATTGGCTCGATGCATCCATGAATTTTTGGCTTTGCCAAAATGAATGACCACTGTGAAACCATTTACACCTACATTCTCAATGCACAAGGCCTTAGCTATGTGCTGCACTGTAGCTTCAGAAGGCCTAGAAGGACACCCGGCTCAAGTTCAAGGGCGGCAACTTGTTGAGCACGTCTTCACTGCCTTCGCCGGTGCCTCTCTCCGTCTCATCTTCAATCTCTGGTGGTTCATCCTTTGCTCTGCTAGCTTCCCCAGCTTTCCGGATCTTGTCATGGAATTCCGCCAGACTTACAGATTGTGTACTGTTCCGGCGTACATTTGATAAGACTCTTTCGTTGAGCTCGGAGGCTCGCTTTCTGCCAGCTTCACGCTTGTCATGAGTTTCCAACTCCTTGGTTGTTAGGGACTTTCGGCGGTCAGCCACTGGTCTTTTTGGTGCCCTCGCTGTTTGAGGGCCTGGGGCTGAAGACATGTACGCCGGATGTTCAGGAGCTTTGCGGCCAGCAGATGGCCGCCATGGTGTTCGCTCCTTTTTGTCACCTACTTTATCAAGTTCAACCGTTTTCTTTCGACGCAGGAAAACAAGAGTCGGCTTGGAAATGCCTTTGGGTGTCTCACTCTGACCCTGCCATTCTGGAAGAATATCGTTGCTCGTGAGGACTGGGAAGGCACGATCAGAAGCATAGCGGCTTGCTCGTTCCGCCCGGTATGCGATTCGATGCTCAATTTCGGCTGTCTCTTCGCAAGTGTTGTCTCTTTGCTCTTCAGATCCTTCGATCACTTTCTTTGTCCCACGGGTTTTTTTGGGCTCTGAGGACTGGAAAACCCCCACGAAGTATGTTTTCACAACTCTTCGGGGGCTCGTGCGCCGAAGAGGTAATGTTGGAATCGTCGGTGGCAGAAGGCGTTTAGTCCTCCCATTGTTGTCTCTGATTGATGCCTCTGATTGTAAACGAACCTCGAATAGTTTTGAAGCATCCGTCCCACCACAATAGGCAGGGGAAAACTCAACCATCTTTCCCCTCACCACAGGCTGCAAATGCCACCATGTGAAGCCATGGCACCAACGGAACAAATCAACTGAGTGACTAGCTCCTTAGCCGGTGTTGCTACTGGCTACATTATGGCATCGTCCACTCACTACTCCCACTCTGAACGCATCCTTCCAACGGGTGAGCTAATGCAAGTTCAAGGGTAGGTGAAACAATGGTTGGTCAAGTATGTAACCAAGTCTTGTTTACAGACCATCATTGCGACCTGCTGCTCAGAGGCTGCGGCTCAACACATTCAACCACAATTGATGGGGACAAGATTCTCGATTTGTTTAGTCATGCTTACTCATACACATCAGCTTTTTGCAAGCCCATCAGCAAACCAGCATAGGTGGTTCGCACCTCACAGTGTAAATGTGTCGAACTGAAAGGCTACATTCCATGACGTGCTCAACAAGCCTGAAACACATGGGGGGCTCATTGAAGCTCAGCTGAGACTTGGAGGGGTACTCTGTGACAGGAGGGCCTCCAGCGACACACCTGAGAAACATTTGCTAACGAACACAGGGCACGGCGACTTGCCAGATGAAGAACATGCCAGTGCGACCGTTGTTCGGCAGCTCGGCTGTCGACATGAGCAAAGACTCGCTGACCTCGGCACAGAAGCCGAAAGAGTTCCGACGAGACAAAGGAACTCTGTAGGAAGGAGCTTGTCTGGGATGTCTAGTGCTCAAGCGCAAAAAGGTGGAGCCTTCTCAGATTATCCCAAACACCTATTTCCATCTCTTGGACTCTTGGCCTTAGCAATACATCATCAACACAAAGAGAGAGAGAGAGAGAGAACTATCTATCGATATCTATGTGTCTATGTGTGTATTTCTTAATAGCTTTTATTTGCAAATTGGAATTAAATAATGTACGACGTACGAGTCACAAGCAAGACGCTTTCGGCGAACGTAAGAGGAAAAAGGATAGCTTCTTTTTCTCCTCGCTTAAACAAAAGGGAGAAGTCTTGGAGATTTGGCACTGGGCTTAAAGCAATTTCCGGTGTTGCGCCTGGCCATGCCAAATGTCTCCAGCATGAAGTCCTAAAAAGGCTGAAAAATGTGAGCAACGGCTGCACCATATATGTTGTTTGCCTCTGAGCACCTTGCCCAGTCTTTGGAGCGTCCTGCGAAGTGATGCAGAACTGCTGGCCTCATTCTGCAGAGCTCAACCTGACCTGTTTGGCTGGAGCTTTAGGGTCCTGGCTCATTCAAGCCACGGGCACCCACCACCTACAAACAGAATGACAAACTCCCCAAAAATTGAACAAAATCCTCAAAATCTCTGTTCTTAGGACCAGGCGTGATTGATGTCAACCAATCGCGGATCTGCAAAGTGGAAAAACGTGGAGCGCCGAGCGCCAAATGGTCCCTGAGCAAATTCAACTATATTTGTATATATATATGTATACAGTATATATCCCTCCGTTTTCGGGGTCTTGGTTGCTATGTTGTAATGTGTTGTTTTACTGTAGCATGCTGGGGGGTAGGCCATGAAGAAGCTTGAGTAGCCAGCAGTAAGGTGTGAGCAGCTAGCCTCCTAGCTACTAGCTTGACTACTCAAACCAACGTGATCCAACGTGTGTTTAAGAGAGAAATTTAGCAGCAACACAACAAACAAGACTTTGCTCCCCGCTGCCAGGCGCTGGCAGATGCGCCACCAACACATGGCATAGAGTGCAATCTGTCAGAGCTTCCAGAACATGAGTTGGAGCTGCACAGCTTAAGACATGTCGTGCAAAGAATCAATTTTGGAATTGCGGCAAATTGTGCACAACTGGATTGATGGCCCGATGGCCTCGTGGTTGCCCTTTGCATTTGGCCAAACATACTGTGCACACTCAGAATCGTAGCCTACAACTGCTCGAGAGGTGGCGGATGAACTTGGTGGGGTGACTTTGTGGAAGAGTTGTGGTCTTTATGACTTGTGCGCCTTCATCTCCTCGTGCAGTAGCCTGCATGGAGCAGCAGACTGCAAGGCCAATTCCATACACTTCAATCGTGGTGAGGTTACAAGGGAAGGCTGAAGGTGCCTTAGCGGTGAAGTAAAATGTTGATAGTCAAAAATACAAAAACATAACTGTCCCTGCAATACAGCGCCTCCAAACCTAGGATCTCCAATACAGTCTCGTCAAAGGCGCCCTGATCTTTTTCAATGTTCTGCATCCATGCTGCCTGAGACGGAAAAGAGAAAGAGTGAGACATGTTGACTTAAGGACACAAAGAAGAGCACTAATCTCCTAGTCGCACTGCCTTCTCCAGCAGCAGGTCGAGGAAGAAATGACCCCGTGGCGAGGACCGAATCATCACCACCTGAAGGAAGCATCCAAAGCATCCAAGTACATGTGGATCTGAAGCGAGATGTGCTAGAAAGCACGTCAGGTCCCAACTCCATTATTCAAGGTCTGCGGTTTCCCGAAGTCACGCGTAGCCACGTCAGGCGAGCCAAAAGCTCCACCTGAAACAGCGATCTCTTCCCCTCTCTCAAATCTCCTCCTGGCCCGCTGCCTGACCAAGCTCCAAGTACTGCTGGAATAGAGATATTCCAACCTGGCTGATGGAAGGCGAATGAATGAGTGAAAAGCTTGTCCCTGGCCCTTGTTACCACACAGGTCCCCAGTCACTTACCTGACATCACTATAGAAATAAATCTACACATACAACGCTCTAAGCTCTCAGCACTCCGGCACAATGAGCTGGTCAGGATCAACTACCAGCAGGGCCTATTCAAGTGAACACTTATGTAAATGCTTGAACCCGGCATGACCTTGACAAAGAACACCAAACCTTGTAGTAACTCAGGTACTTCTTGGCCTCACAGCATCTCACAAGTCTCTTTTGCAATTTGGAGCTTCAACACCTTTTGGACTATGTCATGTCAATCAAGAACAAGGCAGTAAACCATCTCAACCAATTGGGAGCACGATGATGTGGAGGGCTCACCTGGCAAAGTCTGCAACGCCAGTGTGCGCGGGAACCCTCCCAAGCTACAGCCTCCGTGTCATCGGTCTCCAGAATGAAAGCTAAACCATGTCCTCACAAGCTTTGGGAAAGCTAAACAATGTACGAAATTGAGCAGTTACCCTTATCAATTTAAGGAAAAGGCGAAGTGCGTAGCAGCGCCAGAGGTTCAAGAATGGCTGGTATGCATGTATCCTCGGCATCACGTTGCCCCTTTGCCCATCCCCAAGCATCCCGGTTGATCTTATACAGCTCATTGTGGTCAAGCCTACTTATCAGACTGTGCCGCAGGCTTGTTGGGCGTTGCCTGAGAACAACGCCCCAAGCACACGACAAAACACAAGTTCAGAGAGTGAAGCACAGCCAGAAAAAGCTGCAGGCAGACTCTTCATCAAAAGGGCGATCGTCATCACAAGTCTTTCTGCGAGCTGTGGACATATCATCCACAGCTATCAAAGGCCCTTGCTGCCGCTAGCACGGCCACCTGTTCCCTCACTTGTCCAAACGAGCCGGGTCCTCGCCGAGCTCAAAAGAGAAACATTCAAAACGTGTTTATTTTAAGCCCGGGGGAGTAGGTCGTAGAGGGAGGTAGTAGCTAGACGCAGGATAGATCACACTTCTTCAAGGAAGCTCCCCCGCCTGAGGGCGCGGGGGAGCTTCCTTGAAGAAGCGCTCGCACTATTCATTTGGTTCAAGTGTGCATTCTCTCAGGCCTTCGCCTCTATAGTTTGAGTAGGAAGGCCAGGGAAGCCTCGCTTCCGGTTCATGCATTGACGGAAAAGTCTCTGTCTGTCAGGTTCCAGCTGTAGTTTCTTCACTTCTTCACGTCGCACCTGGCCCCAAAGAAGCTTCAAAGACTCAAAGACATAAAAAGCTTCTTGTTACTAGTAGCGATGGCCTCCAACCTAATAGCGATGGCCTCCACCTAGTATCTCTTGTTACTAGAAAGTTTCAAAGACCTAAAAAGCTTCTTGCCACTACAGGTGAAACAATTCCCAGTGAAGCGATTCCCAAGGAAGCTTCTAGTTACTAGAAAGCTTTATTACTAAGAGAATAGTTTCTGCACTGCAATAATCTTGCAACTCTGCGAAATTCATCGGCCTTTCCGCACTGCTCACGTCGTACATGTATCTCGGTCATGGATCAAAAGAACAAGAATGAACAAGAATAAGACAAAAAATCCATGGCTGCCGGACCAGCTCTCCAAAACCATCCACCGAAGCCTCTGGGTTGGGAAAGGTCAGCTTTACCTCTACACATACATCGGTCAACTACTAGATGCACGATTGATTCCAGTGTCTGATTGGGCTGGGTGCATTGTTTCTTGGTTGCAAGCCCACGTCGACTCGTCGCTTACATAGTTGAAAGCCCGCACAAGCCTTGGACTGGTGGCACGGCAAGCCTCTGTGCACACACCAAACACTTCCCGGAACCCACTTTCGGAGCTGAATGGTCACGTGCCCACAGAACTTGTCCCCCACTAACTGCCGAGGCCACCATGTTTCGTAGGGTCAGGCATCAAAAGTTCCAGGTCCTATATGTGTATATTGTATATATAGATATATAGATTTTTGTACGTTCTCCCGTGGGCACACGCAAGCATCAATGGCCTTATGATGTTTTGTGTATCGACCCTTGCCCAACACAGAAAATGCGTCGTTTCCTATAGCAACGCGTCAAAGAGATATCTTCCCTCGCTCTGCTGCACTGCTCCACCTCGGACGACTCCCAAAGGCACCTTGTATCCAACTACAACAGGTATACTCTTGGCGTTCACCACATCTCAGTGGCAAACAGTACCAAGCACTCTGTTCCCTACACTAAGCAAACTATCGTAAGAAGCTCCCCGTCAACCAACCTGATACAGTAACTCTTGACGAGGGAATCAAGCATATATTATCAAGCAGGTGGAAAAAGAAAGAAAGAAAGAAAGGCAAGGGTCCGCATCGCCGTGTTTTAGGCTCTGTTTTGAGAGTTGGCTGTGCCAGTGGAGGGTTCTTCACAAGGACTTCAGCCTGAAGGGCTTCCAGAGTGTTAGTCTGAGAGCTACCTTAGAGTGCCATACAGTGTGTGAAGAGGGGGCATGTGTGTGTGTCAGCAGAATCAAATGCCCAGCTCTGTAATTTTCAGCTTCGGACAAGAGTAGTGTCTGAGTGCATCGAGCAGTCCCGTCCAGCTCAGCAGTGAGACCCTGAGACCACTGGAATACAATTACATCTCGAATCCGGAGCCACCGCATGTTGAACCATGTGACCCTCTCCAACTCTCTAGTCAAGTCCGAAAACTGGCAGCCACTGCATTCTCTTGGACAACAATATTCAATCTGTGGCCTGCAAAGCAAGGACCATGGCACATGCCTGGAAGAAGCATGCCAAAAGACATCCCAACTCTTCAGGAATCATTTCCCGTGTGTCGTGCCTCGGGGCACTGCTCACAACCTTCCTCTTTAAATGCCCAGCCAACAAGGCCCTCAGACCTGCGAGGCACGGCTTTCTGTCCTAAGAACGCTCAAGTCAACTCACAGCGCACAGGGACACGCATCCCTTCAAAGACTCAGGAGAACGATCGTGCAAAACCTCAGCACAGGTTTGTAAGGAAGACGCAGCTGAGGCATCGAGGTCAAGTATATAAGGAAGTTGCCGGTGCGTCTGCCAAAGCCAAGTCAATGGCAAATCTCGTGGCCTGGGAAGATTTCGGCAAATTATCAGTGGCTTTGCAATCTTACCATTTGAGAAGGAAAGAGGTGGACGAAAGGTAGGTAAACAGGCACGGGAGGGCTTCTGAACACCAAAACTGCTTGAATAGGCAGGTGTTGTCATGCCAGCAGCAGCAGTAGCAGTGGCAGCAGTAGTAGCATCAGCAGGCCAGCAAACAAGCAGTAGCAGACCAGCAGCAGACCAGCATCCACTAGCAAACTTTGGAGTGACCGTGCGGCAAAGGCGTTTTACATCTTTGGGATCCCCACTTTTGGCAAGAATAGCTGGGCCATCCAATGCGGCTAGGTTTCATGAAACCCTCCGACCCAAACAACCCACCAAACAAAGAGGACCAAGCAGATTTGATCCAGGCGGTGGCACCACCTCCAAAACTGCAGCACAAATTGAAGGCACCTCTGCACATCCGCTGATGACATCGGTGCCAATTGCGCCCTGAGAAGTGGATGAAAACTCAAGCTAATCCTGTGGTTTTTGCGACCCCCACCTCTCCTCCCAAAGGAGCCCCGCAAGAAGCAAGGCACCTTAAGTAGCCACTTGCCGCAGCCGTCTCGCTACACCAGATTGTTCTGGTGGCCAGCCATCTCCCGACAAGTGAAAGGCACGGGAGATGGTAGCACAATGCGAAAGGCTGCGGCAAAAAAAGGAAATGCATCTAGAGCGACTGCCGAAGTGCTTTCCAGGTGTGCGCCAAGGCACCCCAGCGGTAAGGCTGGGAGCAAGAGGCTTTGGCCCATGAGGCATGGCAGAACCCTTGGGGCTTCTGAATTGACTTGAACTGATTCAATGTGTGGTGCCTTGCATGTTCAATCCTCACACTGACACCCCTGTTGCATGCTTCGTTGGTGCTATGACCTACTGTGCTTTTGCCGCTTTAAATCGCACACCATATGTGCACAAATCAGGCTTTAACAAATCTTTGTCCTTACACTGAAATGAAGGTAAGGTAGTTGCTAGGCTCCTGCTGCAACAAGCAAAGGCAACTGACAAACATGTGGGTGTGGAGTCACACGGAGGGAGCCTGCAATAATGAGTGTAATGATTATTCAATTCTTCTTTGATGCCATGACACCCTTTGGTGTCGTCGGCGCACAAGGACATATTACATAAACAGAAATATCACACAACAAGTGCACCCCATTAGCAGGCTCTACTCAAATTATAGCGAAGTAGAAGCGAGAGGCGAGAGGTGCAAAAGCACCTTGAAACAAAATACTAGCTTGGCACGAACACCCCAACTCTATTGGTGGCTTGGTCGCATACGGGGTGGAAGTATATCCAGGCATCTTTCAAAGTCTCAAACATCCAATGGCCTAGGGCGACCAGGTCTCCGAACTGCGGGGAAGAGAATACTATTCCGCGCATGGGATCTCGGTTAGGAGCCCGAAAAAGATTGCCCAAAAGCCTGAGTCATCTCTTTTTTAATGTGCCACTGACCGTTTGCATAGGTTTGTTTCCAAGCCTGTGACAGTTAGCTTCGTTGAGAACGGCAGCATTTGACCAGGACCTATTGACGAAGCTACAAGGGATATTCAGCATTCTTCGGAGACCCGGTTGTTGAAATGCATTCAGGCGTGTGAGGTGAGCATCATTAAGTTGGATAACTTCTAGACTCTAGACCATAGGTCAATCTAGAGCACACAATGGCGTCATAAACCTGAAGCTTCCAAGAAATTGGACTGTTACATTTCCAAAAGGGCAGAATCGAGTTCACAGCTTCCATATCTGAGGCTATTCAAGTGTCATGATTGGCCTGCACAATCACAGCCCTTTTGCAACATTATGGCAACAGGACTTCCCAAGTGGCACCAACTTCGAGGTGCTGGAAAATGTCTCTGCATTCCAAGCATGCGCGACATGGAGCATTAAGGTGGACTGCTCAGGTGGGTCAAAAATGTTCGCTCACAATGAACTGATCAAACCAAACCTGCCAATGTCATTGAAGTTCTTCTTCAGGTTATGCTCAGGAACTTTGGGCTCGGAGCCACCCAAGCCACCGAGGAGGAACACCCCTTGAGATTTGGCCCCCAATGACTGTCCACAGGTTCCGCGCGAATTGCATGCTCTCAGCACTTTTGCGAGAAGTATGCAGATGAACGTGTCCCTAAAAACTATACACCCACCCTATGAAAATCTTTGCGGTATGTGGGCAGGAGTTGCAGAGTATCACTTCCAAGGGATTCCTGCAGGGTTCTTAACATTTTAGTGTCGGCCCGTGTCGGCCGTAGATTCCAACAGAACTTGAGCAAAGCAGGTGCGGCAATAGCCCCAACTTCGGCCTTCATCTGGCTCGAGTTCAAAGATCCGCTTGACCTTGGCACAAGTCGAGCACTCGATGCCTCACATCGGCAACCTCAAGAAGTTCATAGCAAGAGCGCCATCTGATTGGATTAGTTTCTACAAATTTTGCACTCCAAAGCAAACAAAACCGATCCAAAAAGGTAACTCAGCCCATGGTCAAAGCATCTTTCCCGGGTTGATTCTTCAAGTGTCATCAAGCACTTTTCGAGAGTCAGGATTGTCTCACTTGATGGTTTCTCAGAAGCCCCTCCGTTCTCCCACTTTGTGGTCTCGCGATGGAGCTCTTGAAAAATGATGGCTTCAAATAGTTCGCACTTCAGCCTACCTCACACTCTCACTATCTTTCAAGCGGGTTTGGCTTACATGTCAAACCACCAGCTGCAGGTACGCAAGAAGGCCATCAAAGCCATGAAGGCTGTGTCCAAGCCAACTCTCGAGATCTATTCATCCCGAAAAGGCATTGCGGTACTTCTTCCGTCAGGTTCCTAATTACAGACTTCGTCGGAGTCAGCCTTGGACATTCATGGAGCCAGCATGGGTAAAAATTGCTTCAGTATGTTTCAAGTTGGGAATAAGAGACCCTTTCGTCTCATGGCCAAAGATCCCAGCTTCTCACGCCTTTATGCATTCCGTCTGTCCATACAATGCATGAATTTGCGCCTGCACACGGCCAAAGAGGCAGCAGTCACCACATTGGACTAGGACAAGCCAAAAAATGGCACGTTGGTGCGGCAAATGTGACAACTAAATAGCCATTTGTTGGGCACATCTGCCTCCTACAGCCCTGAAGATCCTAAGCCTAAGCCCATTTAGCTACGGCAGTCCAGGACTGAAGCTGCCCCTTAATTACACTCACAAAGCAGGCCACCATCTTTCTGCATCCATGGCTGTCCTTCTGTCAATCACTACCTAGGCTAGCATCGGGCAACCTATTGCACCACATTGACCAAAATCCAAGCCAAGAATCTGGGAAGACAAAGTATATAACTTGGCTGTGTCAAGGGTAAAGAAAACGAAAAGGCAAAACCTCCCAAGTATCACCTGCAAACACCGTGGGATCGCATGCTAATGAAATAAATATACCAAAACGGGAGACCATAGACCCTGGGCCAGGCAATATTTAACGCGTTTCAACGAGGGGTGCATCGCAGGCATGGCAACACTCAACAAAACACTTGAAGCACTATACACAGATATATATATATATATGTACAAATATATCTATTCTCTACTGTAGTACTTGTGGCCAAGGCAGGGAGAATGCTGAAAACACCTTCAACATGACGTTTGTGCAGGTGAGGCTCTCTCCTTGATCCTGGGTTCACTGAATCAAGCATAAAAGTCGACACACAACAATACTCAATTCTTTCCCAATCCGACCCCTTTGACATGAACTGAACAGCTTGAAAAATGAAATATGCGTCCAACCAACATGACAAATCAGAAAAGTCACGCAGGTGATCATAACGACATTCCTCTGAGACTTGCATGTCCTCCATCAGGGTCTGCATCTGAATGTGTGGGACCTAAAGGGCTTGCAGCTACCTTCAGCTCTGAAGCATGATCACCCTATTTCGTTCAGGCGGTGAAATAAAATAAACACCGTCCTCAGAAACTTCTCAAAACAAGCCTCCGCAGCAAAGCCGGGGTGTCCAGTCCTGTCCAAGAGCATCTCGCAAAGGCCAAGGCAGCATTGCCAGAACCGATGTATCGATGTGTCCACCTACGGAACACTTGGCTTTCACGTGTTTCTGCATGCCTTCAATGGCACGTCAAGTCCTCAAGCACGTCACATTTCTTGAAGTTTGATGTGTTTTTGCTTGAACATGTTTTCATTATTCTAGCCAGCCTCCAGCCAAGTGCCCCCTCAGCAAAAACCAGCCAGCTGCATGGTCACATGAGGTTTTAGCCCCAGAAGTCTTGGCAAACAAACAGTGGCCATTGGTGCCCTCGTGCTGCACGCAGTGACACTTGGTGCGAAGAATGGCGTGAAAGGGAACATAGTTTGAGAGTGGGGTGTGGGTGGAGAATATTGCTCCCCAGAAACTCATGTATCCAGCCTGAATCCAAGCAATAGATGGCATCAATTCTTGATTCCCCCGACTTGAAGCATGAGCCATCGGACTCCATCGCATTGGAATAACGGGATAACGCACCGGAAGTATTCATGCCTCTTTTACTGTTCGGCCCCTGCAAAGGACATTCTCGCAGGTTTGGCTGGTAGCCACACTGCTAAACTCACATGATCATCAAACCTTGAAAATTGAATTGATGGTTCGACCCCAAAAGCAAGCAACAACACCACAACAAAGTTCACGCTCAACAAGCGACACGCAAAAGGCCTAAGCCGCTCCTTTTCCATCTTGGGCCAAAAAAATATCTCTCTATATATATATGTATATAACATCAACCAAGTCTTGAAACGCTTCACTTGCAAGCCACATATGCTTGCCAAGCTTCAGAAGGACACCAAGCCGGAAAGATGCCCGTCTAGCGGGCACCTCGTCAACAAAGTCTAACAAAGGAGAAAACTGATTTGATACCCAGCCCTGTGGACGCCTGTCCGAAGCCGCTTGCTTGCAGAGAGTCCCCGAACGACACACACGGTGTCAAGAACCTGCACGCCAAGAGCGCTAGAACAGCCGAACTTTCAGGCTGCTATGTGAATGTGAGTTGCTCATGCTCCAATGGTGGGAAGTCTCACTATGTAAAAAAAATGTTCTGAGGGGGATGCTCATTGTAGTCGCCGCGGTGTACTGCACCAAGCTGCATGGTGTCAGCAAAGCTGCCCCAGCCTTTGAGCAGAGCTAGGCCCCCTTGAGCCCAAAACAGCGAGAAAGACTCAACATAAGGCACCAAATGGCTGCGTGACACGTACTGACCTGGCAGGAAAAATTATCTTCATGTCATAGTCCAGCACTATGCTCAGAAGGAAGGAACAGGACACCAGTTTCAGAGACATATCTTTATACATGTGCACTGGATCTGCTCATCATGACGAATGCCCGCGGGCCATCCGCACTCCCAAACGCCAAACTCAGAGTGCGAGAGACCACCCAAGTTCCAAGGCAACGGCAGTGGTACCTTTGGGCGACTTTATCTCAACAACCATGCGAGTTTCGCACTCGAGGTACCTGGGACTGACTACAATTGTCCACACTCAAGGCATCTCATTTTTGAGTTCATCCTCTCGAAATGCTTCATTGTTACCGCCGCGTCTCTGCCAAAAGCTCCATTGAAGCACTGTAGCTCCTGTGCCCAAGGCATGGCTTTGTGAGGCCAAGCCAAGCTGTGACACCCTGCAAATTTGACTGCAACTCATCTTATTCTTGTCGCCCAAGGGATTGTTGCTTGGTCAAACAAGCCGAATTACTCTCTAAACTTCCACCCAGGTATCTGCCTCTTTGGTTGCCCTGTCCTGACCAACAAAGCTAGCCTCGCATCGTCCTAGGCAGCACATGGAGCAAAAAACAGAGCATGCATGATGCATTGAAGCATGGCCGACCCTATCTCAGTTTCAGGCCCACTTGGGCTCCAGGAAGGTCAGCCTGCAAGTGTAAGGGGCGCACGGGGGAGAGAGAGAGAGAGAGAGAAAAAAAAAATAAATAAAGAGGGAATGAGAAGCTTGCAGGAAGCTGGACGCACAATAACTCGAGCACATTTTATCCAGTGTCCAGACTGTCCATTGCATCAACCCACTGTACACATTCTTGTGGACGAACTGGTCGCCAGTCGCAACAACCCCAGAATACCATATCCTAAGTGCTCGATGGAAGAACGGGCTGAATACCAAAGTTTTGTGTGCAACCAAGTTGTTGCCAAACAATTTGCAACCAGGGCACCTCAAGCGTAACCTGCTTTCCTTTCTCCTGAACCTTCTTGAGCCTCCTACAGCACCGAGCTGCTCGCGCATCGCTATTGAATGGGCCGGCTGTGCTGGCGACACCTGGCCAGCTACTAAATGCTCACCAAAAAACAGTTTTTAGTTGCGCTGCAAGTTGCGCTACCGGTTTGGAAACGCTGCTTGACCGACCTGCTAAGGCTACAGCCCCTGCAACGGCAGAAAGCTCTTTGCAAGATGCATCGAGTGATACATTGAAGCGCTCTTGGAGGTACCTAAGAAGGAGCAAATGCATCCTTGCACCTCATCAATGCACAGAAAACTTGTAAAACTAGTTGCCTGCCCAGTGGCTCCCGCGCAAGCCAAAGACGATGTTTCCCTGTGCCAGCCTCAATCCAAACAAACTAACCAGTCAAATGTGAGAACCAACGTTTGGTTCATGACAGGTTTGGAGGTCTCAGATGCGTGGCCCAATGCACGATAAGCGGGTTCCTCGGCAGCGACTGTCGAGAACGAGAATCTCCATTTCAGCATAGATATGTTTTCTTGTTGTTTACCTCCTATCTATCTATCTATCTATCTATCTACCTATCAGCCTTTTGCAGATCGAATGGCTACTCTGGCCACGATGTCCTGCACCGGAAACGGTGTAGCGGTGTGAACGGTGTCAACGGCGAAACAGTGTAAACGGTGTACACAGTGTAATGGTGTAATCGGGGGTAACCATGTAATGGTGTAAACGATGTAGAAACTGTATCACCGGTGTAATGGTGTAAACGGTGCAGACGGAAAGGAGCACAGGCATCCTGCAAACAGCGACAACGGGAAACGAACGAAGGCGAAACATATTCCACCAAAGCTAGAATGTTAGTTTTGGTATAAGTGTGGTACCTGTGTTTTAGGCTTCGTTCGTTTCCTGATACCTTGTCGCTGGTTGCAGGATGCCCGTGGCTCCTTTCGTACTATACAGGAAGCCCTGGCTCCTTTGCGTTCGGCTTGCACGCCGCCATGCAGGTTTCACAGCCGGTCAGGGAGCGCCTTGTTTCATGCAAAAATGTGGTGGCTCAGTTTTAGACTTCCTTCGTTTCCTAATGCAATGTCGCTGCAGGGTGCAGCCTGCGGCTGCTTTCGTAGTACGCAGCGTGCCTTCGGCTCCTCCTTCGTGACCGGTTGGCACGCCACGCAGGTTTCATTGCGGGTCGGAATCTGCAGTGTCTGCGCCGTATTTCGTGCTACTTGTGTCTTTGCTCACAGATCCTCTTTTCAACAAACACTACTTCCTGGGCCATCACGAATGGCACGAGCCCTTTCTCCTTCCCATGCTCTGCTCCGTGCGTAGCATGTGCTTTCCGGTAGCAGCAGCAGCAGCAGCAGCAGCAACCAGCAACCAGCAACCACAATGGCAGCAGCAGTAGCAGCACAAAGCACTAGCCAGCAGCAGCAGCAGCAGCAGCAGCAAGCAGCGGCAGTAGTAGAAAGCCGCGGCAGCAGCAGCAGCAACCAGCAACCAGCAATCAGCAACGGCAGCAGCAGTAGCAGCAAAGCAGTAGCAGCAACCAGCAGCAGCAAGCAGCGGCAGTAGTAGAAGCAGCGGCAGCAGTGGCAGCAGCAACCAGCAACCAGCAATGGCAGCAGCAGTAGCAGCAACCAGCAGCAGTAGCAGCAACGAGGGGCAGCAGCAGTAGCAGTAACCGGCAGCAGTAGCAGCAACCAGCAGCAGAAGCGGCAACGAGGGGCAGCAGCAGTAGCAGAAACCGGCAGCAGTAGCAGCAACCAGCAGCAGTAGCAGCAGCAATCAGCAGCAGCAGCAGCTTCACAAAACCGAGAGTGTTGCGGAGGGGAGAGCCAGCCAAAAGAGTGATCGTTGGGCGCCGAGGCGAAAGTAATGACATCCTTCAGGTCGTCAACCGTGCAACCCTTGTCGTCCAATTCCGCAGCAGTAAGAGTAACATGGATGTAGTTCAGGGCTTGATGAACAAGAAGGCTCATGTCAAGTTCAAAACGGACCGTCAAAAATGGTTCGATGGAAAGGGTCAGGTAGTCGTAGGCCAGGGGCGGAAATCATGTCAACAGTGGTGCGGGGCACGGGAAATGAGACCAAGATATCGACCAAGGGAAATTGTGTCTGTTTTGCGCTTGCTTTTGCTTGCTACTAACCCCTGTCAGGTCTCACCTCTTATGTACACGCACGACTGACGTAATTGGCCGAAGTGGTAAAACACCGGCTGCTTTCGCGCGTCACTGCACTTGACTGAGCATTCATTGCACTTGTCCTGCGGACCACTCTCGAGACAGTAAGGGAATTCCACTGCATTGCACTTCGTGTCACCCACAACAACAACCACCACAACAACAACAACAACCACAACGACAACGGCAACAACAAGAACAACAACAACACAACCCCCCGGGTCCGTCATTTCATTTCTCGTTGAACCCGGGCCTATCAAATGATTTCTCGTTAAACCCGGGTCCGTCATTTCATTTCTTGTTAAACCCAGGCCTGTCATTTCATGTCCTGTAAACCCGGGTCCTTCCTAATTGAAACAACAACAACAATAACAATAATAATAATAGTAGACCCCCGCGGTATAGTTGTATATAACAATACAAGCCCCCCAACTCAAAGAACAACATTACCCCCCTTATTGCTACAACGACGCCGCCCCCCCACTTGAACCAACAACACACCCCCATCTTGCTTTGACAATACCACCCCCCCAATTGAAACAGCAACCCCCACAGCTATCGGGCGGGTATGTACCTATCTATCTATCTGTCTATCTTCCCATCTGTTTCCTTAACTATCTGATCCATTCATCTATCTACCTATCTATCTGTCTCAACTAACTATCTATCTACCTATCTATCCATCTGTCTGTCTATCTACCTATCTACCTATCTACCTATCTACTCTACTCTACTCTACTCTACTCTAATCTAATCTAATCTAATCTAATCTAATCCAATCCAGTCCAATCCAATCCATCGATCTATCGATCTATCGATCTGTCGATCTATCGATCTATCTATCTATCTATCTACCCGAACCTCTCTCTTTGTCTTTCTCCTTTGCCCCTCTTTGTAAGGTTCCAAAACATACTTGCAAACATTGGGCAACTCACAATCAGACGGAACATGTCAGCATGAACACTGCCCTCCTGTCTACAACATCTGCCAAGTGTCATTGTCGACGCGTTTGCCCTGGAAACCAGATGCATCTCCGCAAGATCAAACCCATGCGCGTAAAAGAAGTCGTTCGGGACGAAGTTTACCTCTTGCATTGGTGCATTCGGACAAATAAGTGCACACATGCTAATATACAAATATATAATGTATTGCGGTATACACATTCTGCCATCTAAAAAATGTTTGGCAGGAATTGTTAGGTCCCAAGATATTTTGATCGCAATCCATCCCACCCTACCAATTCGCGTTGTTTTACGAACGCCATAAATTGCACAGGCTGTTGGCGTTGTAGTGGTTGTTGTGGTTGTTGTGGTTGTGGCTGTGGCCGTGGTTGTTGCTGTTTTGTTGTTGAAGGTGGTGTTATTGTGGTGGTGGTGCTGGTGGTGGTGGTGGTGCTTGTCGTTGTGGTCGTTGTTTTGACCAGAAGCTGAACCAGAAACAGAAAATGCATATATTCAAAGGCAACTTGGGTTGCATAACTCGCACTGAGAGGCCATCGGAAGCCATCTTGAAGGAAGGGGGGGCACCCTAACGAGCATGCAAAAAAGCATCGCTCTAAAAAAAAACTTTGCAAAAAGCACTACAAACACTAGAGTTTCCCATGCTCTTTCTGCAAGAGCAGAAAACACCCATACTTGCGAGGTTTTCTGACCTCTCCGTTTTGCCCGACAAGCCTCCAAGCCTCCTCCCCTGTGGCCTGCGGGGTGCACCTGCTGAAAGTGTCGGGTTGTTGTGCTTGTTGGTGGCGCTGTGGTGGTGTCTGTAGTTGTTGTTGTGGTTGGTGTTGTGGTTGTTGTTGTTTTGGGTGGTTGTTGGCGTTGTCGTCATGGTGGTGGTTGTTGGTGTGGTCATTGCTTTGACCAGATGCTGAACCAGAACACACAATGCCAATATATAAGGCAAGGCAACTGGGGCTGCATAACTCGCGCCGCGGGGCCACGGCCACCCGCAACCATCTTGAAGGGGTGGCGCCCAACGAACATTTGCCACAAACAAAACTAAAAACATTGCGAGCTCTCCATTGCGCAATCCCGCCAGGTAGAGCCGCGTCTGTCCTGGCCCTGCAAACAGCCGCCCTGAAAACTAGCCAATGTCATACTCAACGCATCGATGCCCCAAAGCTCGGATCTTTTCAGCATTGGCTGTCTCCTCAAGTCCTGCAGACTTTCAAGCCCCAGCCTGTGAACGGTTCCGTCATCAGCGGCTCTGAATGCTCATGCACTGTGGGGCTCTGGAGCCTTCGCTGACACTGTCTGCACCGTGGGTCTGTGACATTTGGAAGATCGACGCCGTCGGGGCCCGTTCCTGTCGCGGAATCAGCAGCTGCCCTTCTCTGCGCACTCTCCGGATTGAAAGAGGCGACATAGTTCCACGCCTCATCTGTTGTGTGTGGAGTTGCCATCGTCACCGACTCGGTGCTCCCGAATTCTCCCTCTTAGGTGGCCGTTCCGGAGGGCCTTCTTGCCGTGCTGGACCGCATGGGCCTCTTGCCCAGCGGCGTCTGATTCTCTCAACTTGTTCAAGGCGAGCTCTGACATCGGCTTGGTAAATCACAGGCAGGCGCGGCCATATGCCATATCTTTCACCGTACCGCGCGATCAACTTCTCACGGGTGTCAAGCTTGAAGCTGGCATCTGCTTCAAACAGGATCGCCCCGGTGTGGAGCACCATGAAGCGGTTCCACTGTCGTGGGTTGGTGATGCACACATACCTTTCACTGCATTCTATTGCGCGCAGGTCCTCGCACCTCTAAGTTCGTGTAAGGTGCACGGCTTGGTGCGAAGAGCGCGTGGAGTGTTGATAGCTGTTCTTCGACTTCTCGTGCTCGTTGTAGCACTAGGTGCCGTTGTTGCTGTAGCTGGAGTGGCGGTCACTCCAATAAGGAATCTGCATGTCCTTGCAAATACCTCCAGCCTGCCTCAAGTCTGCCATGGTAGGGGGGGTCGTCCGCCTCCACCTGTTGCTGGCACACGCCAAAGGTGCAATTGCAGCCGCCAGCTCGGCTTTTCGATCCTTCAGCGCCGTTCAGTAAGTTGAACAGGCTGCCGTGGACTGTTCTGGCTTTCGTCCTGGAGCTTTCAAGCCTGATCCACCGTACAACTGCGCCCAATGAAGTCAAATCGCTTAGCCTGTTCAGTTGTGGGGCCCATTAATGGAAACAGTGTTGCCTGAAGGGAGCTGCAATGGTACTGGATGCCCAGAACTCTTGGTAGCAGCAACACACCCAACAGCAGCCAAGCAAGAGGGCGTATCGCGCACCAGAACAAACACCAGCAAGTAGATCAGTAGCCAAGTCAACGTGGCTGCGGGTGGCGCAAGCTGGGGCGACATGCCAGGATACAAAACCAAAATTTGGCCACATGGCATGACCTGAGCCAAAATGGCCATGTCCACCCTCCCACTATATAAGCAATCCAAAGATTGTTACAATCACACTGCAGTCGCTACATCACTAGATGTTCCTACCTTAAAGTTTGGGCTGTCCCTGACACTTCCAATTTCACCGCGCCGCTACAGCACAGCACTAAGAAAGCGCGTGGATGAAAATTGCTGGTTCGATTGCAGGGCACATCAATGCGCTCTGGATCCACAAAAGTCACAATCCGGCTGCGACGTTTCCGATGTGGTCCAATCATGTCACTGAGGACGGACTGCCAGCAATCGCAATACATGCCATAGGGAAAAACGCCATTCCTGACAGACATCTCTTATCAAATCTGTCACGTGCCTCGGGCTATCTTTCAATCAGTCAAACTTCAAGATTCAAGATGTGAATGTCCACACAGTGCATGTTGAGTTCTTGCGCCCAAAACATGTGGGAGTAGAAACCTCCAAGTGCTTTATGACTGCGATTGAACAACCCTTCACCTTCCAGTCTTGTCGCACAACAATTGATTCCTCTCCCTGCTTCACCAACAGCTCATGACTGTGATGAGCATGGTTCCACGCTTGCCGTCGGATGATGTGCAGTTCGCCGCTTTTACTTTTTCACTGGCTCAAGGTATCCGGATGACCACATGCGCGACAGGCAAAAGTGCCTCATTGCTTGCTTTTTGCTTTTGCTGGGCCGACTTGGTTTTTCGACTTGGTTTTTCCTTTTTCGGTTGCGGAAAGACTCTTGTTCTTAGAGGGGCTGGCCCCCCCAATCACCCACATTGGTAGCGGAGCTAGGGGGCGGAACTAGGTTTTCTAGGCTGCCTGCTGCACCCACATCCAATGGCCGACGCCATGCCGAGCGATGGCCTCGAGAGCGCTGAGCCAGCGCTGCCTGATGCGGCCGCCGTGCCGCTGCCTGACCAGGATCCTTGGCAGGAGCCTGGGCAAGATCCATGGCACCCGGCTGGAGGAGGAGAGACGGGCTCTCATTCCCCCATGCCTGGTACGGGTTCGAGCACGCCAGTGGGACCAACGGGACAACCTGTGACATTGGGCCCCTCAGCTGCTTCAGTGCAGCTTGGTCAAACTCATGCCACATCAGAGGCACCTATGACAATCCCAGGTGGACCTCCAGGATTGTTGCAGGCCTCTTCAGCGGCAGCCCCAATGACCATGGCACCAACGACAGCACCACAGGGTATGATGTCACCAATGGGACCGTGCTCATGCCAGGGATCAGGATGGATGATGCCTCAAGGAATGGTAGCACCACATACTACCCCGTTTGGAGCATGTCTTGGAGTACCACCCAATGGGTTCACGGCACACCACATGCCTCCAACACCGTGTATGGGCTATCCCACTATGCCTTGGTCCACATTCCCTTGGGCATGGCCTCCCCATCCAATGCCCCCGGCACCAGTATCCAGCGCCCTGACAGCACAGACAGCACAACAGCCGATCCAGGGACCACCAGCCACGTCAGGGACTGGTAGCTGGTCAAAACCCGCTTCAGTGCAGGGACCTCAAACCAAGCAGAGTGCTCCAGAGACACCAGAAGATGAAGATCTGGACGACAGCTCCTCGGCACAAACTTCAGAAATCCGATCCATGCTGCGACAACGAATGAAGAAGGAAGGGGACGGCTATCAGAGGCCGAAGAGTTCCCTTGGATCGGTTCGCATTGAAGAGTACTGGGGAGAACGCTCCAGGTATGTGAAGTGGAAGCGCACCATCCAGGCACAGCAGTGTTTGTATGGCCTGGAGTCTCAGGAGTTGGCAATGCTGATCTACCTCAGCACACGTCGAGAGGCCCGAGACGTTGTGGAACAGCATCCAGTGACCTCATACACTGGAGCTGGTGGCCTCCATCTCCTTTGGCGAGTGCTTGATGAAGCGTTCGGAGAGTCTGAGGCTGAGCTCTTTGAACGAGCCGACAAGGAGCTCGAGAAGTACCGCCGTGCACCAGGAGAAAGCATTGCACACTACCTTGCTGAGATGAGGAGGCTCAGAGCTCAGTACACTCGAGTTGATCCTGACACCAAGCTATCCGACCGTGCTTGGGCCCAGAAGCTGCTCCACAAGGCTTCGTTGAGCCGGAAAGATCGGTATGACGTGTACTACAGTGCCGGAGCCACCTATGACCCGATCGCCATCGAGAAGGCTCTCCGTGTTCGCTGTCAGAAGACTCATGAAGATGAGAGGAGAACACCTTCCAGAACACCACACCGTGAGAGAGGTGAGAGAGAGCGAGAAGATGATGGCAAGGTGAGCGTCTTCAAGAAGAAGAAGATCTTCATCAAGAAGAGAGTCCATGGTGCTCATGTAGCTGAAGGCTTGGAAGATGAAGATGAGGAGGAAAGTCCAGCCGCCATGGAGCAGGAGCCTCACGAAGAAGAAGAAGTCGGAGACCAACCTCCGGACGATGAAGAGGCGGCCGAAGATGATGAAGACAACAGGACAAGTGATGGTGAGATGGAGGAGGGAGAGCTGAAAGAAGCATTTGCCGCCGGTTGGAAGGCAAAGCAAAAGGTAGCAGATTTCAAGAAGCAGCGAGGATGGAAAGCTACCGACAAGAAGGGCGAAAAAGGGGCCTCCAGCGCGACCATCGACGCCAGGAAGAAAGCAACGACATGCAGTAGTTGCGGACGTCAGGGACATTGGCCGGGGGATCCTGAGTGTGTCAATGTCATCAATGGACGAGACCAGCCACACCACAAGAAGACATCAATGGTCCACTTCACCTACATGGTTTCCAGTGGAGATGCACTTCAATGCCCTCAGTGTCACTGGCCTTCCAAGTTCTGTGGAGAGTGCGGCTGTGCTCTTCATCCTGACCAGCGGATGTCAGGACAGTCCAAGCGAAGCGGAGAAGATGATGAGTGGGAGGAGGTGAAGGATGATCGCTTCGCATTCTCAGTGAAGAAGACATCCATCGTTGGAGCCAAGCCCAAGGCAAAGGCAAAGAGCCTGGTACTGTACCTCCTGGCCAAGTTCGTCTTCAAGGTCAAGAGCTGATGACTGCCTTGCCTTCCATGTCAAAAGAGGAGAAGAAAGCCCTTCAACAAGCGTTGCAGGGTAGAGCCTTGTTCGCGACTCGTTGTCGTAGCGTTCGCAACCGTTGTCAACCGTCCGCAACCGTCCACAACCGTCCGCAGTAGAGCGCTAAGGCGCTGCCATTCGGGGAAGCTTTTGGAGAGAGTTTTGCATGGAAGCGTGACGGGTCAGATGCGTGTGAGATAGCGAGGAATCGTGTGGAAACGTAAGATGTTGAAGTGTGGAGGATGATTTCACTGCGCAGGCGCAGCGTTTTGCGAAATTCGCAGTTTTCTGCGTAGTCACATTGGGACTGGCGTTTGGGGAGTGGTGTTTTTTGGGGTGTTGGATGTGGCTGTGACATTGGGATTTGCGTTTCAGGGTTGCATCGAAGCTATGTTTTCGTGACAAAGTCTCAGCTGAAATGGCGACTTTGGTGGATGGGAGTGTGCTCAGAACGTGTCAAAGCCATTCCAATGTGATGTGGTGCAAACTTTGTTGAAGAAGAGGAGGACAAGGAGGTGGAAAAGAAGAGAGAAATGTACAAAGAGCTGATGAGGGAGTGGAGCTACTACGATGATTATGAACCCACTGGCCGGGAACTTTTCCCGGAAGATCCCAGTCGGTATGACGCCTGGAAGGCAAGAAGGGGCTATGGAGGAATCGATGAGAAGGACCCCATGGCATCAGCTTCAAGCAGTCAGACGCCAATTCCACCGGCGCCAAGAGCTGACAAGCCCAAGCCCGTGAAGGAAAAGGAGCTCCAGCTATTCAGAAAAACCCTGTATGATCAGCAAGTGCGACATGGCCGTTGCATGCCCTCGTCGGCCGCCACCTGTCCGACAGAAGCTCAAAGTCTCTGTCCACATCGACTTGAGGACTTGAAGTGGTCAGCCAATGCAGAAGGACACTTCGCTCGGTGCAAGGCCTGTGACCTCAAGCACGTGGTGTACTACTCCAATCGGCATGGAGCGATGATGGTGAGTCAGCACCAGCCGCCACCCGGCGTGAGCCAAGAAGCACGGGTGTGGATTAGAGAAGATGAAAGAGCTGCTCACTTTCGATGGGTCAACAATGGAGGACCAATGAAGCATCAGGTCACATGCCGTGTCACGAAGGATGTGCACGGAAACAACCTTGAGGTGAAGTTCCTGAAGGGAGATGAGGAGATGAATGACCTGACTAAGCCCATCGATGGACCACCACGTGCACTGCTCACTGAGTTCTGGTATGAGCTTGAGAAAAAGGAGGCCAAGCAATCACCTATGCCGTCCAACGTTCACTACATTCAGGCACAGAAGCCAGGACTGGCCATAGCAGACTCAGGATGTCGGAACTCGGTGGGAGGTGAAGTATGGCATCAACACTTCCAAGATGCTTTGAGGGCACATGGCATCCCTTGGGAAGAAGTCGCGGAGGAGGAGACCTACAAGTTCGGGGCAGGAGCACCCATTGTGAGCCAGACAGCTTGTCTCTACCCCATCCTGATCCATGGACAGGTGGATGTCGTGAGGATGTCAGTGGTTGGGAAAGGTGGTGCTGCCTGTCCGGGCCTGATTGGTCCTGGAGAATTGAGTCGTTGGGATGCCATCTTTCACTTCAAGGACAAGCAAATGGAGTTGAATGGCCTCAAACGTGAGACGCGATTGACGGCCACAAGGCACCCCGGCATCGAGCTGATGGAGTTTCATCCTGAAGAGATAGCAAAGGTCAAGCAGTTCTGGCAGTCAGAAGAAGCAGAGAAGAAGAGAAAGATTTTGAAGAACACTCCCCACTCGTACGCATTCCTGACAACTGAAGGTGAAGAAGATGAGACCGAGGATGACGACACGGAGGAGGAAGAAGTGCCAGAGCGAGATGACCGTCAGAGGAAGGTGGAAGAATGGACCCAGCAGCTTGAAGATTTGGGCGTGACGATGGTGCCCACAGTGCCGGCCTTGGAGGAGGAAGAAGAGGCAAGCAGTTCAGCAATGTCAGATGGTCACGACTCCTCAACGTCACATGAAAAGGGAGTCGACATGGTGACAGATGACTCTGACAGTGAAGAAGAAGGGACGAAGCAAGCCCCAATTGCTGAATCAAAGATTATGCACAAAGGCCTCCGTCATCGTTTGGGCCATGTCTTGAGTGAGATCAAGAAGACCTTCCAAGGAGAGACAAAGGCACAAAGAAAGAAAGAAGCAGGAGGAGAAGATGGAGGCAGAAAGGAAGAAGTGAGGAGAGGAACAGAGAGGAAGCGCCCATGGACCATCGTGGAGATCTTTTCGTGGACATGTGCAATTTCGATGGTCGCTTCTATGAGGGGCTGGAATGCCTCAGAGCCGATTTCGCTTCCACACTGGGACTTGCTCAAAGGCCAAGACCGCGCTGCAGCCCTTCAGTATCTCGACCAGCTTGACCCTGATGTGATGGTCATCGCTTGGCCTTGCACAGTATGGAGTCCGCTTCAAGTGTTTGGCAACAAGTCACCGTGGCAAAGAGAACGACTTGAAGAGAGGAGAGAAGAGCAGAGGGAATTGCTGGGTTTCGTTCGTGATGCTAGCCATGGCCAAAGAAGAAGGGGTGGTCTGCTGTTGGGAGAGAATCCCAAGCCCTCTCTTGCTTGGCGAGAACCTCTCATAGTGGAAGCCTTTGATGGAATGGGTTCGATCATCACGGACATGTGCCAGTACGGCCTCCGCATCCCAGAAGGAGGTCCATTTTTGAGAAAGAGAACTCGTTTGGAGGGCACTCCGGAGCTGTTGCAGCCCTTAGCAAAACTATGTCCTGGAACCCATGAACACACCCCCGTCTTGGGTGGCATGAGACATCAAGGCAAGTGGATGAATGTTTCGGATTTTGCTGGAGGCTACACCAGTCGATTCGCTCAAGCCGTGGTGAAGCAAGCAGAGAAGGTCTTGGAAGAAAAGGGAAGAAGGCCAGAAGCCCTCCTGACACTCCCTGCATTCCCAGAAGAAGATCTAGATGAAGAAGCAGAAAGGACAGAGGTGAAAGGCTCCAAGGAAGAACAACCACAGAGCTGGCGAATCCAACAGCTCCACAATAGGTTGGGACATCCAACCAACTCCACACTGAGCAAAATGCTTTCTTTGGCAGGCGCTTCCAAGGAGATTGTGAACAGAGCTCAAGATTTTCAGTGCCCAACGTGCCAGGAGACACAACCTCCTGGACGTTACTTGAAGGCCAGTGCTGAGATGCGCACCACTATCTTCGGCAAAGAACTGCACTGTGATCTAAAGTACTTGCATGACCACAAGAATGCATTGTATGTGGCCTTATCGATGGTAGACAGTGCTACTTCCTTTCATCAGGCAGTCCTCCTGAGAAATCGCTCAGCAGAACATGTGGCCCGCAAGTGTTTGAGACACTGGTTCGCTCTGTTCGGAACTCCACAAACCATCGTACTGGACCAAGGAGGAGAATTCGATGGCTACTTCACTGGCTTCCTAGAGCAACATGGAGTACACAGCAAGGTGAGTGGAAGCAAGTCAGCATGGCAACACGGGTTTGCCGAGCGTCACGGGGCGTTGCTGGGAACAATGTTCACATCTCTGGCCTGGCAGTATAAGGTGGAAGGGAGAAGCCAAGTGAAGGATGCTTTGTGTGCTGCCGTGCAAGCAAAGAACTCAACTCTTACGAAAGGTGGATACACACCTTTCCAACTTGCTTTCGGACGGCAGCCCATGTTTCCAGACCTCCTTGAAGAAGACGTTGAAGGAAACATGTCCCTTCGAGAAGCCCTTTCATTAGAAGGAGAAGTTCAGAGGGCATCAGAGATGAGAGCTGCCGCCCGTGCCACTCTTCTAAGGCATGATGTTCAGTCCAAGCTGCGAAGGGCACTGAGGAGGTGGCCGAAGGGTGAAGAAAGAGAGTTCGAGCCAGGAGAACTGGTGTACTTCTACGCCCCAAAGCCCTTGAGCACACGTTTCAAGAAGGAACCCGGGTTCTGGCGTGGACCAGCAATGGTGCTGGCAAAGGAGTCACACCAGAAGTTCTTCATCAGTTGGCGAGGCCGATGTCTTTTGGTCTCTGCAGCCAACTTGAGATCAGCCTCACGACTGGAAGGAAAAGATCATGACAAGAGGCTGCAAGAAGGAGAAAGGCTTGAGGAAAGTTGGAAGAAAGGAGAGAAGCAATTCGAAGACATGAGTACAGTTCCAGAACCGGTAGAAGAGGAGAAGACTGAAGCTCTGGGCTGGGAAGCACATGATGGAGTGGTTTCAAGGAAGCCAGGAGGAAGACCTAAGAGCCAAGCAAAGGAGATCGCCGCGATCGCCAAGACTCTGAGGGGGATGAAGACAATCAAGACGATCCAGAAGCATAGAAGGAAGAAAGAAGATCGCCTCGACCTCCGGAGTGGGACAACGAAGCCAATTGAACGACTGCCTCAAGAAGAAGCAAAGCCCAGCGATTTCAAAGATCCCCAGGAGGAAAAGAAGGATGAAGAGGCCAGGAACCAGAAGATGCAGCAAATCCAAGAAGAGATGTATAAGTGGTTGGGCAAGCCACAAGAAGATGGCTATCAAGACCGTTTGAGACAACATCTGATTGATGATGTGCCCATGCAGTTCAAGAGAAAGCATCAAGAGGAGCCAGCTGGACAGTTGTCTGAGGAGCAGCTGGTGAAGAGGTTCAGGCCCTCCTTCTTCGCTTACACGATGCTGGCCTCCATCAATCGAAGCCAGGGTGAGTGACCTCCTAGAATGGAAGAAGATGGTCAAGGAGGAGGAAAATCAACAGGCATTCTTTGAAGCTTTTCTCCTCCAGGTGAAAGCTAGCGGGAAGGAACTCGATCCAAGATTCTTCAGTACAGAAGAACGGAAAGCCTTCGACGTCGCCGACAAGAAAGAATGGGAATCTTGGGTGAAGAATCGAGTCATCAGAAGGCTCACCCCTGAAGAGGCCCGAGGAGTAGATCCGAAGAACATCTTCAAGGCACCAGCAAGGATTGTCCGGGTCAATAAAGGAGCCATGCAGGGCATCTTCCAACCAAAGTCCAGGATGGTGATCCCTGGCCATTTGGACCCACACCTTGGCCAGTATCGGTCAGATGCACCGACGGTGATGTGGATCAGTGTCCAGCTCGCCAAGGCGGTTTGTGCCATGAAGAAGTGGAGAGCCTTGACCTTTGATGTCACGACAGCATTTCTCAGTGGCAAGGAGGTCGACAGAGAGGTGATGGTCAGGGCACCGGAGGGCTTGCCGGCAATTCCTGAAATGAAAGAACCAGCAGTCAAACCAGGAGAGCTGCTGAGAGTGGTGAAGAGCGCCTATGGCTTGTCAGAAGCACCCAGGTTATGGTACCTGCGGGCCAAAGAACTGCTCGAGGAAGCAGGTTTTGAAGAACTCCAAATGGCAAAGGCCACCTTCCTGAAGAGATCCAAGAAGAACCAGGAGGTGGAAGCAATCCTTTGCCTACATGTGGACGATGGTCTCTTGGTGGCAGATCGCAAGCTTGCTCCAGCCATCCAGCAGTCCATCGACAAAAGGTTCGCAATAAAAGAATGGAAAGATCTAGAAAAGGAGCCAGAGACCTTCCTAGGAGTGAAGACAAGTTATGCTGATGGAGCCTTCACCGATGACATGACAGAATACATCGACAAGATCAACTTCGCTCCGGAAGAGACATCTTCAGAAGAACCACTGGTGGGAAAGCAACTGTCGGCATTCAGGCGCCTCATCATGCAGTTGCGTTGGCCCTCACACCATGTGCTTCCGGAATTCCTCTACAGAGTGAGCGAGTTGGCTCAACGAGTAAGTCATGCAAAAGGAGGCGACCTGAAGTATGGCAACAAAGTTCTCAAGTCCATGAAAGAAAGTGCAGCCCAAGGCAAGGCCACCATGAAGATCCCCGCCATCTCAGGGGAACCGCTGCTGATCGGTTTCTTCGATGCCTCCCTTGGAACATCCAAGAGCACCCATGCCCAACAAGGAGAAATCCACCTCCTTACCAGCACCACGGCATTTCGCCAATCAACCCCCATGTGCATCCTCGAATTCCACTCAAATCGCATCAAGCGTGTGGTTCGAAGTTCGCTTGCGGCTGAGGGATGCGCCATGAGCAGTTGTGGGGACCGGCAGCTGTTCAGCCGGGTTTTGCTGGATGCCTTCCTATATGGGAAGATGGAGGTGACCTCCCAGTGGCGCCGGGAGCTCAAGACTTCCGGATGTTTGGTGACCGATGCAAAAGGATTGCACGATCACCTCCATAAGACCGGAGGGGTGGCAACTGAGCGGCAAGCAGCATTAGATATGCTGTTGATGAAGCAGCTCATCGAGGATGGCATCATCGGCCTGAAATGGACGCCAACCTGGCGCGAATTGGCCGACCCTCTCACGAAAGAGATGATGGCCACACTCCTCGAAGACCTGAAGAAATCAGGTCAGGTCTGTCTGACCCAAACGGCGGCAGACGCCAAAGAAGAAGAGCGACGTGCTGGGATTCGAAGAGGCCAGCGAGAACGTCGCAAGGAACGAATGAAGAGCACCAAAGAAAAGACACGAACCGACAGCAACGCCTTTTCCCTTTGATGTGATGAGCATGGTTCCACGCTTGCCGTCGGATGATGTGCAGTTCGCCGCTTTTACTTTTTCACTGGCTCAAGGTATCCGGATGACCGCATGCGCGACAGGCAAAAGTGCCTCATTGCTTGCTTTTTGCTTTTGCTGGGCCGACTTGGTTTTTCCTTTTTCGGTTGCGGAAAGACTCTTGTTCTTAGAGGGGCTGGCCCCCCCAATCACCCACAATGACTTGTTCACACCATCAACGTATTACAAAACCGATGCCAAATTACAGCTCACAAGGAAATGCGGTGTTGTGCCCCACTCTGGCTACTCGGGTCTGCCACCTTCTGCCCAAGAGTTGCAGCACAACCAAAACATCCAGAGACCCAGAGTCAAACAGAGTTTCTGAGACAAGGGTGCAAGGAGCCTTGCCAGTCTTTGAAGTGTGTTTGGGACCCATTGCGCTCACTCCGGGGTGGCCATGGCCGATGCCATCTCACGTTTTCGAGCGTATCTCTGCTTGCAGTGGTTCTATCAAGCAATTGTTGGCGAAGCACGGAAGTGGAAGAAGAAATCGCAGGCATTCCGAGTTGTATCCACGCTTTCCCAGCAGCTGCATTTCCATGCCTTCAACAAGCTACAACTTAAAACCAGAAACACTATCTCGCCTTGGGCGTGTCAGTTTTTGCTGCACATCTTGGATTCAATATGCAGAAAATGTTTTCTTCTGTGGCACTCCGTCTGTGTGCTGCCGAGTCTAGTTTCCATTTCGTGCCTACCAGTTCCAAGATCGACTCGGCTAAAGCACTCTGGTCCCAGGATGCTGCCCATCGCGTCTTTTGTCGCCACAGCTCCCTGGGATGGATGATAGCAGTCACTTCTCGCAGGATGTTTTTATTTAGCCGCCCTGACTTCAGGAGGTTTGCGTCCAAGTTTCAGGAGCAATCGGGATGCTCTGGTATTGCGGAGTGCCAAGAATCCGCTGTTCAGGCCTTGCAAAATACATAACACCACTGTGTTACTGTGGGCTTCTTTCACTAGAGTCACTAGAGCGGATTTTCGTACAGTAAGTCAAATCCAAGATGCACTCAATTCCAGGCCATGAGTCTCGAACAAACACATCCTGGCACAGTTCTTTCACAAATCGCCAGCAAGCCAGAATCATATCTCGGAGGTGCAGCCAAGATTCACCGGGACGGTGGGAATGCGACTGTGGGACCAAGAATGGGATCAAACCCCATTGCAGACTGTCAGGTCGTATTGTCACATCCACATCAAGGTACAGGACCATCATGACATGCTTGTCCAGCTGGCGTTCAATAGACCAAATCTTGGTCTGCTTGCCCGGGTCATCAAAATAGATAGTCACCTCAAGGCCGCAACGCCAGAAAAACCTGGCAAATAGGCAACCCGGTCCCCGTCTACAGTCTGACACGTGGAGACATGAAAAGGCAAGGCACAAAATTCTCAAGGGATGCAAGCTCCACCGCTCTGCTGAGCTGGTACTGTTGCAAATCTTCAACCAGAGTCACGACATATTTCAAGTGGTCCTGCAATTGAAGCCTTGTAAGGAGTGACAGCACAGCGGTGGCAATGAGACTGGTTGCGCATTCACTGCTCCTCCTCCCATTTTTCTTGTTCAACTGCACCATCAGCACCTATCTTTGTACTATGCCAGTGGCCAACCCAAAAGTAGTGGCCTGTGCGGCCCAAGGGCACATGGCGCAATGGCCAGGGCCCACCATCAGCTGCAAATTGCATACCTGCACAGGTTCCCAAACTGTAAATGGATTCCCTGGGCGCAATGTGCGCACTGCGAGCAGGCCCTGCCTCGTGCAAAGGCATAGCATTCGAGCTGGCGAACAAAGGGCGCAACGAAAGGCTCTTGGAAGTAGCCGGCAGAATGGGCCGACAGTAACAACACAGACGAGCCCTCATCAGGAACCTTTCGCTCCTGCAGGATTTAAACTGAAACTACAGTAGGAATCGATTGCAATCTTCCTCTACGAGTGCTTCTCAGTCTCTCTCTCCCCTTCTCTCTCAGTCCTGCGGTCCCCCAAAAGGGCTGAGCAAACGCGTCGCCTTTGCCCGCAGAAGTTCTGCTTGGCGAAGGTGAATCTGGGTTTCGATTCAACAACATGAATACCACATTTAAACGGGCATGAATGCATTGCAAACCAAAGGCGTTCTGCAGGCCAAGACTCCATTCTTTGCGTAGCGTCTGTCCACAAATTCTCCCACACTGCCCTCCTACCTTCGCTTTCAAAGGGCCCGCCTTCGAAAGACCACGGCAACTGGAACATACTGCAACAAACAGGAGTCGGCAAGCACAAGCACCACCAATTGCAAAAGATTCCAAAGTCCAAAGCTTGGGGTCCTTTTCGGGCTCCAAAAATAAGCGCGAGGAAAGACCAGGAAAAGGCGCAACTTCTCACGGTTGTGCAATTCCGAAGCTTCTTGACCTTGCCGCGGTGTGCTTGTGTGCCTTGACACAGCACACACCCAAGCAAAGACACGATACTTAAGAAATGAAAAATCTACCACAACGCGCTGCTTTCACAGCGCAAGCCTCAGGGGAGGCATGCCAACAATGAACACTGAATGAAGGTTGGATTCTATGATGCGGTGGGTCGCCAAAGCATAAGCACCACGAAGCCAAGATTTCGGAGATTCACCATGGAGAAACCTTAAGGAGACAAGGAAGCACAGAAAAACGCCACAATTTCAAACAATTGCCATGCTCGAGTTGACTCCTATCTACGTGTTGCACCCAGGCCAGCAACTCATGGGATCGAAACGGTCGAACATGCGGTAGTTCATCCGAGCTATTGGTTTGCTCTGAATGCGCTGCAGCGCTTGATCGGCAGCCTGCTCGCACTTCAGGCCATAGCAGAGGAGACCTCAGGACATCGACTGCGTCATGTGTCACTCTGCCATGCCACGTGATGTGCCACCTCTGCAGCCACATGTTCGGCTGGAATGTCCAAGAAACCAACCAAAATGGCTCTGCAGCTGTAATGCCACACACGTCCTGGAAGCTTGGGAAAATTCATCAACGCACATCACACATCCAAATCCTGGACTTTGTTGAAGCCTTTGGCCTTCAACGGTCCAGAAGACAAATCGCGAGCACGATAATATCCCGCAAGTAGCGTGGCATGTGTCAGAACTTGAGCCCATCTGGCACTATTGAATCAGAGCTTTAAAACCTTTGCTTAAAAAACACTGGTTCAATATTTATGATGAAAATGTTGGTGGATTCTTTGTGCAAGAAGACTTGAACCAACGCTGCTGCTTGCGTGGAACATGCACATGCAAATTGCACTACTCGGGCTGTCTCCGGTCACACACGAGCAGGGCCTCCCCGAGTGATCTCTGCAGGACTGCACCTGCGCTTTGTCAGGTGTCAACCTGCTTACCCAGCCAGTGGGCACAGTGCTGCTATTCCAAGCTGCATGTCCTTTTGTCAGGACTGAGATAGGCACACCACCACCAATGCGGAATACACTTTTTACTTGTGCCTGGCTACGCAAAAGAATCTTGCATTGTCTCAAATGCTCATTTAGAGGCATCTACAATGCCTTCAATTCATTCGCAATCTCAAGCCACAGACCTGTCCTCAGTGCATCCGACAATCATTCCTATGCAGCCTGACAAGAAACCAAAGGCTAGCCGCCTTATAAAAATCTTTCGTATGGTAAGGCCAGGAAAGCCTGCTTCAAAAAGCTCAAATAAATGTCCAAAAAAAATGTACCAGCGTAGACCCCAAACAGTTTCAATACGATTCGTTCGGACCAAAATTTATCAAAAACGATTTTTCTTGGTACGCCCTACCTTCCCCCCAAGAGCTAACTGCTTTATCAAAGATTTTTGTCGGCATGAACTCGCTATATAATTGTTCGGCCACAAGAGAAGACAAGAGAAGAGCAGGTCAAGAGAAGACAGAGTACAAGACCCGGCCACAGAGCCGGGCCACAGAGCCCGACAGAGTTCAGGGGTGGGACACACCAAGACAAGGACAAGAGGAGGACAAGGCCTGGACACAAAGCCGGGCCACAGAGCCCGACAGAGTTCAGGGGCGGGACACACCAAGACAAGGACCAGAGGAGGACAAGGCCCGGACACAGAGCCGGGCCACGGAGCCCAGCCACAGAGTTCAGGGGCGCGGCCAGTGAGTGTGGCCAGCTCTTTTTTCTAAGATAGAACCCCAACAGTAAACTGTTTGGGGAATCAAATGGAAAAGTCAAAGTCCAAAAAGCAGAGTCAAATGGAAAAAAAAAAATACCCAAAAAATGAAATTAGAAAACAATTTCCTTTTTTCAATTCAAAATTAGAAAACAACTCGGAAAAAAATACATCAAATAAAGTCAAAATATACGTCAAAAAACAAAGAAAAAATCAAAATAAGTTACAAACAAATCAACGTGAGTAAATATCTCGAAAAAGAGTCAACAAAAAAGTCATTAGCAAAATCAAAACATTAGAAAACAAAGTAAAAAAGTAAAGAAAAAAACTCGAAAAAATAATCAAATAACAATAATAGAAACATGCAAATTTGGAAAAAAAAGAAAAGCTCGAAACACAAAATAAAAACGGATCTGGGCCAATTGACATGTGTTTAACTTTCTGAAACGTTTATGATGTTATTTGTTTGACATTGACTTTTGGCACCGACTACTATGTTGACTTTTGATCTGTTTAATCTTGAATTCAGGCTCTCTCCAATGAAAGATTTTATAAGTCTAGCCAACACCAAGAAAACAAACCTAGCAGTGTCCAGTTGATGCAAGCAAGGCGAGTGCTGGTTGATTTTCTGCCGTTGTTGATAGACACCTCGAATACAGTGCGAACAGGATCGATAAATTCACACCGATTCGCTGGCATAAGCTTGGTTGATTGTTCGCACAGTTCGTCAGGTCCTTGGATTTATGTAGTGAGGCGCAGGCCATATTCATTTCTGCGCGCATCAAGCCTCAAGTCCTCATCCAAACCCATTTCCTCCAAGAACCTTGCCAAACACTCACTTGCAACAGTTTGTCCACAGCATGTTTTCTTGAACAGGCCTGTCGGTGTCACCAATCACCTCAACACAAAGCCTGGCCAGCTTTCTCGGTTTCACGGCAAGAGCAACGCGGATGGGCAACATATGCACAAACATCTTGAGGTCCTGGCCATACACCTGAAAAGTTTGGGTGCACAGCCACGACGTCATCTGGATTTTCCAGGAGAAGATCTGCAAATTGCCGAGACGCGGAGGTAAGAAATTTATATAAGCGTCATGTGACACTAGCAACATCCATTTGCCTGGATCCCCCTCGTCCGGCGGAGAAGAATGGGTATGAAACATGTCCTCAGCATCACAACGGTCACAAAAAGGCATCAAAAGTTTGGAACCTCACCTCCTTGCAAAATCTCGAACATGGTGATACCCAACACCTTGCCAGCGTTTGTTGCTGCTTCTGGTTCCAAAATCTACCGCAATCAGTTTCCCGCAACCAGTTTCCAAAGGATTCTCCTTGCTGCACCCTGGCGTGACTGATGGCCAAACCACGGTCAAAATCCCGAATGGAACGGAGAGATTCCGAGAAAAAAACAAGGAACTCATTGAAACCGCAGTCCTCGCTTCACCGGCCCTGGGTGCCTTACCGCAATCGCAATGCTGACTGGACCACAGGTGCTGTGAGAATATCTTTGCACCGTTGCACCCCGATCAAGCTTGGCACAAAGGACATGTCGACCACCAACTCCGGGGTCCTTGCAAAACTTGGTTGCTTCAACTAAGCCATGACAGTCATGAGTCATAGAATCATAGGAGGAAAAAATACGGAAATATAATATATTATATTTAAAAAATCGAGGTCATCTACGGTCACTTCAAAAAATACAAAACAAATGCTGAGCAACAATGATGCCCTCGTTGACGTACTACTTTGTTGGCATGCCACCTGCGAAAATGCCGGTTGGATTTCACACAATGGGCCATAGGGAACAAATTGTTTCAGCCAGCCTCCTTCGCATGTTTCATCGCATTGGTCTGATCCCTCAGCTTGATGGTGCCAGAATGTGCCAGACACAAATCAACTGGACGGCCCACTCTTGGATAGGTACGAGGATTAAAGGCCTTTGAACTTCCTTGACGTTCTTGACATTGGGCCGGTGCAAGTCTTGAACGTTGCTTTTCTTGGCTCTGCACTGTGCAATGAGCGTTCTCCAAAGTGTGTTCCACGCTGATTTGTCCAGCTACTGTAAATGTGATTGGTCGCAAGTTTCGCCAAAAAAAATCTCCCTTTTGGGAGGCCACTAGGTGAGCCAAAATCAACGGCCACTTTGTAAAGTTTCATGAGGTTCCCTCCTCCTGTTCCAAGACCCGGGCGCGTTGAAGTTCAAGCACTTACATTGCCCGAGTCCCATTCAAATGTCACTGAGTGGTGGGTTGACAACAAGAACCCCGCACAGACTATATACTATACAGCAAATCGCCAAACAACGGAGCACAAGCCGCCGGTCGCCAGATACGTTTGGTAGCTGATTCCGCCGGGCCGCCGGATACTTTTGGTGGCTGATTCCGCCAGCTGCCGGATACTTGTGGCTGGCGGATTCCGCCGGGTATTTAATTTGATAGGTGGCTGCCTTCTCTGGTGGGAAGCGTGGTTCCCCATCCTTCATGAATGCACCACAGCATGAGGATCCGCAATGCCGCGTGCATCCTTGGTGGCACTCCCAATTTTTAAGCCAGGAATCTTGGCACCGGACTTGAGCTAAAAAACACCCACGAACCCGAATGCAAACACGATCGAAAAACTACATATGTCAAAACGACACTCTTGTAGGAAACTCTTGTGGGACACTCTTCTGGGACACTCTTGTAGGACACTCTTGTAGGCAGACCGTGCCCCAGGTGGTTAGAACTGATCGAGTTCGAGTTCGAGTTCGAGTCAACGCGCTTGAGACGGAGGGGGGTTAGACATTCGAGTTCGAGTCAACGCGCTTGAGAGGGAAGGGGGTTAGACGTTCGAGTTCGAGTTCGAGTTCGAGTCAACGCGCTTGAGAGGGAGGGGGGTTAGACATT